TGGGGGCAACTAGTCACAGCTTAGTGTCTGTCTAGTAACTACTAGTAAGTGCCTAATATCTGCCTAGCAACTAATAGTAACTGCAGGCCTCTCCCCCTATCTTGTGTGGCTCCTCTCTGCCCCCGGCACCCAAAACACCCCCAAAGTCCCCAAAATTGCTGCCTATCCACCAGCCGGCCCTCCCCTGGGTCACCCCATCTACCCATCCCTCTTCAGGGCCAAATTCCCACCTGTCCCCATTATCCCCACCCCCAGGAGAACAGGCAGTCTAATTTCCCCAAATTTTGCCTGCTGTTGCCCCAAAAAGCAGTTTCATCGGGATGCAGGGCCCAACCTCACCCTGCAGGTGATTACATTTAATGTTTAAAGCTGAATTTTAATGACAGGACAAGTCTGAGGAGCACCCACCTAGGACAGTTGGGTTTTTGCCTCTTTGTTTTCCTTTTTTCTCGCTAATGCACGACTTGTCCGAGTACTGCTCCCTGCCATCCAAAGCCGCAGCGATTAAATTTGATAACATTGTGCTTTGGATAATTTTTTAGAGGGCAGTAGAGGGTGCTGTTTGTTCTCCTGTTAGGATAACACCCCTCCAGCCCAATATACAGACAGACCCAAAGCACGGAATAACCGGCTGTTGAAGGGTCAGCCTTGCCCAGCGCTCCAAAACTAGTGTGCCTCTCTGGCTGGCTGTGAAATGCAATGTGTTGCCAAGGGGTTGAAAGTAGGGTTACTTCTCCAAATAGGTATTTAAGTGGGAATCCCTCTTATCCAGCCTCTCTTGGCCCTTTCCAACTTTCCCGGTGTTTTCTCTTCAGATTGACAGTTTTACCATCGTATTTTTGCACACAGCTGGGTCCGAAACTGTGGCCCAGTGGTCCCAGGGGTGCAATGCACAGCCAGATCGCTGATGGCCTCCCGTACGACCTGGCTGAGCACACACCACCAGGCTGGAAAGGGAGAAGTGAGACTTTTTTTACACTCTGTCTCAGCCAAAATAGGGTGGTTTTTTTGTGATCTGAAGGGGTGAGGGGTGCATTGTATTGGGTACACCATGGATGTCTGACTGTGCAGAGACCTGCTCTGCTGTAACTCTGTCCTAGAAGGACTTCGATCTGTTGGTTTTAGTTGGCTACTTTGAAAAGATGTAATTATATTCATTGTTATAATTTACTCTTCATTATTCTATTCTGATCCATTCCATTCCATATTCTTTGTTATCTGGGAATCAGAAGCAGTGTTTAGTGTGATTAATGGCTAGGTACAATATAGCCACACTCCAAATCGAGGTGGGGGTGTTGGGAAAAAAAAAAATCAGCACCTGATTTTGAGGTGCTAAAGTACTGCTGGCAAATATACATATCTAAAAGGCACTTACACCCAGGGGAATTAAACAGGGGTAACACGTGAGACCAGAGCATCCTGACATCATGTACTGCACAAGTAGAGGGTTGCAATTAAAATTGTAATTGCTTGTAGGGGCCAATTGCCTGCCTGACTTTTCTATGCTGAGCAGTGTAAATGCTGGGAGGTTTGTGCTGACGGCTCTGCGATGGCTCTGGCCCTCCTCAGGACGAGTGGAGGAGCCTGGCTGTTGGGGACACATCATTGCTCATAACCACATGAACTCCCGGATCACCCTGAATTTATGGGGTTGTGGTTTGTTATAATTTGCGCTTGGCACACACGGGCAAACTATAACCGAGGATATTTGTGCTGAAGCATGATGCCGTGCTTCATTCGCAGGCAAGGAACATTGCCAGAAGCTTTTAGCAGAAGATGCTGAGCAGTTCTGTGACTGTCTTGAAGAGCACAATGGTACTTCCCACTGCCTTGGGAAGGTAAAACATTTCTTTTACAGTCATGGGTTGCACAGGAATTACCCTTTTTATTTCTCTGCACCTCACTTTCCCTGTTAAATCAGACAGGTTTTTCTGTGCAGCACACAGGTATGGGAAGAGGTTTGCAAACATTGGTATCTGTGTGGTGCTCAGAGATCCTGGAGGGAATAGCATCAGGTTTCCTAGGGGTGGGAGGGTGAGATTAGCAGGAACCAGCCCCGCAAAGTCCTATTAAAGGATAAAAAAATGCTGAATGATAATCTGGTCTGGGTTCAGTTTCCACAGCGAGGTTCACTCTTACACATGGAGGCCTTCCCGTGCGACTCCCCAAACTTGTACTGTCTGCCGGGGGCAGAGAGAATGCCAGGACCTGGCTTCTCATGGGTTTGGTCTCACTGGTGCAGCCTCCTTTTCCACTCAGGTGGCTCAGATTCCCCCATCTCTTCTGCAGCCCAGCACTGGAGGTGGGGAGAGCCCTCAGAACGCGCTGCTGTGCCAAAGAGTTTTATTGCATCCAAAACTGTGCAACTATCTAACATGTCCCACTTGCATCCACAACCTGCGCTAAACCGCTGCTGTCCTTCCAGCTCCTTCCATACTGCTCCGTGCCCCACTGCCACCGGCATTTGGGAAGTGACTCCCCTTTTCCAGACTCTGGTGGCGACAGAGGATGCCAAGAATTTCAGGGTGTGTGTTTAGCTGTCACCCCTGCCTCTAAACACGCTGTCCATCTCCTAGAGGGTAAAAATAAAACAGCATTGTTTAATTTCTGGAAAAAGCCAGATGACAGTGGAAGGGATCAGAACGATGCATACCAGCTCTCCCTGTCCCACTGTCTCAGCTGTTGCTTCTTGAGAGACAGAAGCATGTGGTTGCTAAAAATACCCTGCAAAGAGAATACATTCTCTTTCCAATGGGAGAGTATAAATTAATCCGAGTTGTAACATATACAACTGCTTGTGGCTGGGAGAAACAATTCCAAACGCGGTTTTTGGAGGGGGGTTTCCTAATGAAGCAGAAGTCCCAGCCCTGTGCCTTCCCTGCGTAGGTCGGCGACATTACGCGGCGGATCTTCGCCTCCTGCCTCTCCTGCTCCCACCCCCTCGCCCTCCTATGGGAAACGGTGTGGCCGGGGAGGGGGGGGCCAGCCCTTTTATAAGCGTGGTCTTGCGGCAAGTCGAAGTTGACAGAAGTGACGGGAGATTTGGCTCGCTCTGAGATACCCACCTCCCAAGCCTTGGGGTCCCTGGGATGACCAAAGGGGGAATGGAGTCAGTCGAAGTGTTCACGTCTGAAGGCAAAGGCAGGGGTTTGAAAGCGCAGAAGGAATTCTTGCCTGGGGATGTCATCTTTGCGGAGCCAGCCTATGCGGCCGTGGTTTTTGATAGGTAAGAGAAAAGCACTTGTAAAACACAGACTGAAAGTCGTCTTGATGCAAAATTTCATCTGGCTGGGTGGGTAAAACTTTGAAAGTGTCTGGACAGCGTCAGAGAAGGGTGTGAAGGGAAGTCAGAAGCACTTCTGTAAAGATGCGTCCAGTGAATGTGCTTCCCAGGGCTCAGAACAGCTTTTTTACTTTTACTATGGTGCAATCTGTTTCCAGGATCAGATCTTGCAAGGTGCTCAGTGCCATCAGCTTTTACCGAATGCAGTGAAAGTTGCCTGTATTCAGTGCCTCACAAAACCAGATGCATGTTGCACTCCGGTGAGCTGCCAGCAGTAAGTGTAGTTTAGGTACAGCGACCTCAAGCTGACTTTGCTGAAGCCTCCGATGCATAATGCGTGATAGAAGTGAGTTACATTGTGCTCTCACCTGTACCACCTCCCAGCTGTACACGCAGCTTCATCGCCCGCTTCCTTCAAACTAGAAGCTGGTAAGGATCTGCGAGTGAGATTGTTTCTGTTCAAATGGTTTTATATTTATAGCTAGCCGAGTTAACTGGAGACAAGTTTCTGCTTTTACCCTTGCAGGACTCTGGTTTTAAATTTTTGTTCACACTGATGTAGCCAGCAACTGAATTCTGGTGCAAGCGCATTTTTCTTTTCTGCTGCTTGTTTCAAAGACAAACAACATTCCATCAACCTGCGCTGCCCATGTGGCTGGTAGGTGTCCACTTCTGCCCTTCAAATCAGTGGAAGATTCACTTAAATACCCTGAAAGCTAAAAGACACAAAGAACAAATTTCTATGTTAATCTCCCATGGGATAAATCTAGAATAAAGCCTCTGACAATTTTTTCAGCCTTATAATGCGTTCTTCAAGGGCATCATGGTGAGTCCCGAGACTGATTTTTCTGCCCCAAACTGCCAATGACTTTAGTGAATGTTCTGCACACTCAATAGGGCAGTGAGTGATTCTTCCTAGCTGAGCTTTCCCTGATTGAGCCAACTCTGCTAATGAAGTCTGGGACACAAGCAGAGCTCATGCTGCTGTTTTTATCCCGGTCATCTTGTAGCTGAAGCTGAATCATGCTACTGTGTGATCTGGCAATAGCAGAGAATTGGGGAGTAAAAGGACAGAGCAGGAGATAAGTTTTTTTCTGCCTTTCATTCACTTTTTCCTTGCTCTTCTACTGTCAGTGGGTGAGCATGTTTATGAATCTTTACCATAGCAACAATGGCAGTTTTTAGTTTTTATTTTAATATGTCACTGCAAGAACTCACATTAAAAATATACTTTTTTATTTTAAAATATTAAGTTCTTGAATTCTTAACCCTGAGTTCAATTACAGTAGTTAGTGACAAAACCATCTCTCCTTGACATGTCCTTTTAGCTCTTGTACTTTAGTTGTGCTTGTGTCGCTAGCTGGAATCTTGCTGTGATACTATGTTGGCTTCAGAAGTGCCTATGGACACTTTCTCCCATATGCCTTATTAAAAATGCTAATGATCATTTAAACCAATGAAAACATTTTGCCTTTTGATTGCTGGTTGAGAATTTTTTTTCTTCTATGTGAAATGTTGCGAGCATCATGCATATAGAGCTGCCCATGTTGAAGAGCTGTATCTTCATTGCAATTTCAAATGTCACTTGTGTAATGTGAGATACGGGGAGAAACTATCACCACATCATCTCTTAGGCTGCAGACTGTGTCTTAGGCTTAGATTTCCAACAGAAAACCTCGGATGGGGAGAGATGTGCTTCCTTCCCTCCGCAGGCTGTGTTTGTTTAGCTCCCAGAGGGCAGATCCAGATGTTGAGCAGCACAGGGGTAAGGTAAACACACCCCTTCTCTGCAGCTGCAGAGGATGGGGATGGCTTTAGCCATTCTTCTCTCTCTGCTTCTTCTTCATGCTACT